CAGCAAATCACGGAAGCCTTAGCTAAGGTCACCCAACTCCATCGCTTACCCCAAGCGAAACCGGATGTCTTCAGGGGAGAAGAGGAAGACAAGACAAAATTCTTTCTATGGGAGTCCGCGTTTGATGCTCTCATAGACTCGGTACCAGTCGCCCCGCGGCAGAAATTGCACCTTCTATTCCAGCATCTAGAAGGCAGAGCTAAGAAGGTAGTTGAACAGCTTCAATTCATGATTGACGACCCTGAAAAGGCCTACAAAGAATCGAGAAAAAGATTGAAATACCGTTTTGGAAATTCCGCAATTCTAAGTGCTGACTTTGAGAAAAGGCTCACCGATTGGCCCAAAATTGGAAACAGTGATGCAAAGGGAATACAAGAGTTTAGTGACTTTCTGCAAAAAGTGGAGATAGCGAGAGATCACATACCAAGTCTAAAGATCTTTGACTTTTCATCGAAACTTCAGAGTCTTGTAGAAAAACTTCCAGGCTGGTTTAAAACCAAGTGGTCAACTAAAGTTCAGAAGTTACAGCAAACAGATGGTCACAATGCCTTTCCATCCTTTTCCGAGTTTGTAAAGGAAGTCAACTTTCACGCTGAGCGAATGAACATTCCCCAAATCTCGCAAGCATCACTTGGTAGCATTAACCAGAGAGCCGCTCCAAACCAGTCAACTAGTCCCGCAGAGGATCACAGACCTCCACAGGACAAGGCTCACAAATTACAGCTCTAGCAACTCAGTCTTCACCTGACAGAGAACGTAGTCCAACAAAGAGTTTCTTAAAAGACTCTAAGTCAACAGCCACTCCTGATAGTCTTGGTACAGCTTCAACTGTCAATACAGCATTCTGCCCCTATCACAGAACTAAGTCTCATGACCTGGAAGATTGCCAGAAATTTCGCGAGCTCGATTTCAGTGAGCGAAAAGACTTCCTGTTTAAAAAGGGATTCTGCTTTAACTGCGCAAGCTCAAACAAGCACATCAGCAAACATTGTGATAAAGGTCGCCCTCAATGCAAAATATGCGGAAGGAGTCATATCACAGCCCTTCACGACCCGTCGAGGCCAGAAAACAACTCCAGCCAAGCTTCATCCGCCTGTACTCGAGTGTGCAAAGACGGACCCCGTCGTTCCTGTGCTAGGATTATTTTGTTGAAAGTATCGGACCAGTCAGACCCTCTTAAGGAAACCTTAACGTACGCTGTCCTGGATGACCAATCAACAGACGTGTTCATTACAGATGCCCTCCAAAGCAAATTAAATCTAAGTGGCGCAGAAGTTAACCTTCAAGTAAACACGATTGTGGGCACTAACACTGTCAGAATGCGAAGAGTCCCTGGCCTTCAAATCCAAGATATTAACGGCGAATTTTCACCCGTTAAAGTTCCTTATGGCTATGCTCAACCGAAGATCCCAGCAACACACAGTGACATTACAGGTCTGACATAGACATCGGCATGCTCATTGGAAGAAATGTACCTACCGCATTCCAATCCCTGAAAGTTATTTATGGCGAAGCAGACGAGCCTTGGGCAGAGAAATACAAATTTGGATGGACAATCATCGGTCCTGTGTGCTTGGATAAAGCGAAACCCCAACAATGTTGTAGCGTATCAGTCAATCGCGTTACCGTTCAAAGAGAAGAACTACCGGACTCGTGTATTCTGAACGTCCCTCAAGCCTCTAATCCTCTGCATCAGCAAGATTCTGTAGCCGTTCTCGTCAATAAGTTGCGGTCGAAGGATGTCACCAGCCCTCAAATAATTCGCGAGATGATGGAACTGGACTATAGTGAACTGAATTACTCTCGCAAAATTTGTGCAAACGAGCAAGTTGAGTCGATTGAAGACAAACGTTTCTTCCAAATTATGACTGCAGAAATGCACAAGAATCAATTAGGAAACTGGGAGGCACCACTTCCGTTCAAGACAGATGAAGTCAACCTTCCAGATAACGGGGACAGTGCCTAAGAAGACTTCTATCGCTGAAAAGAAAGTTATGTAAAGACGAGAGAGCAAGAGAGTATTACATCGTCTTTATGCAGAAGATATTAGAACGTCAACACGCAAGTCGTGTCCCAGACAACGAACTGACGCCAACGCCTGGTAAAGTGTGGTACCTCCCACATTTTGACGTGTACCATCCCAAGAAACCCGATCAAGTACGTGTAGTCTTCGATTGTAGCGCCCTTTACAACAGCCAGTCCTTAAACAAGAACCTTTTACAAGGACCAGACCAGCTGAACCCTCTCATCGGGGTATTAACCAGATTCCGCAAGGAAGATGTAGCGCTCACGTGTGATATAGAACAACTGTTCCATAGCTTTCACGTTACACCAAGCCACAGAGACTTCCTCCGCTTCTTGTGGTTCGAGAATAACGACTTGGATGGTGCCATCTCAGAATTTCGTATGAATGTACATCTGTTTGGGGCAGTGTCATCTCCTTCCGTAGCCAACTATAGTCTTCACAAGACAGCAGAAAATGGACGTGCCGAGTTCGGTGACAAGGCAGCTGATTTTCTGTGCAGAAACTTTTATGTAGACGACGGTCTTACTTCGGTCCCCGCTATTTCAGAAGCCATAGAATTGATTGAGGACAGTCAGGCTCTCTGTGCGTCAGCGAAGTTACGGCTTCACAAGTTCGCCAGCAACCGAAAGGATGTCTTAGAGGCCCTTCCAAAAGACGATCGTGCAAAAGACCTCAACGATCTTGACTTTCGCCACGATGCTCTACCAGTCCAGCGATCTCTAGGCACTTATTGGTACATTGAATCGGATACTTTAGGTTTCCGCATAGAACTGAAGGATAAACCACTTTCACGTCGGGGTATCCTTTCTACGATAAGCTCAGTATACGACCCTTTGGGGATAGTTTCACCAGTAATCCTGACTGGTAAGCAGATTTTACAAGACCTTTGTCGCCAAAAGGTGGAGTGGGACGCCCCGCTTCCTGATGAAATTATCGCTCTTTGGGAGAGGTGGCGCACCGAACTACCGCTGTTAGAGAAAGTCAAACTCAACCGCTGTGTTAAACCGCCTGGCTTCGGAAGTCCAGTCCAAGCTGAAGTACACAGTTTTTCGGATGCAAGCGAATCAGGAATTGGTCAAGTCTCATATCTTCGAACAGTCAACTCTAAAGGAGAAGTTCATGTGAGTTTCCTCATAGCCAAGTCACGAGTAGCTCCTATCAAGCCGATATCTATTCCCCGTATGGAACTGACAGCGGCCGTCGTATCAGTCAATGTAACGAAGATGTTGCAGAGTGAACTCGATTACGGGAATTTACGATCTGTTTATTACACAGACTCTGAGGTAGTCATCGGCTACATAAGTAATGAAGCTCGTCGTTTTCACGTATATGTCGGAAACAGAGTACAGCACATCCGTGATCGTAGCGACCCGGAACAGTGGCCTCACGTGCCAGGAAAGGTTAACCCTGCGGACGAAGCGTCTCGTTCACTCACTGCCAGTCAGTTACTTAACAACAAGAGATGGCTCTCAGGGCCAGACTTTCTCTGGGAAAGCGATGTACCACTTCTTAACAAGAAAAACACAGCTCAGCTCTCTTCTGATGATGTTGAAGTGAAGACAAACACCTGCTTCTTGACGCACTCTACCGCTCGAGAATATCCTGGTTTACTTCTTTCATATCTGAATCGCGTTTCTTCCTGGCACAAAGCAAAAACGACAGTCGCCTGGATGAGAAGAGGAATAAAGAATCTCCAGTCTGTAATAGCAGCACGTAAAGAAGAGATTCATCCTGCAAAGGACTTAGGAAGATCACGCAATGAACAGGGAAAACAGTTCTTACCTCTCTCAGTTGAAGAATTGGTCCACTCCGAGAAGTTTATTTTGCGTTGCCTCCAATGCCAGCATTTTAGCCATGAGATGGAAATTCCACGAACGAGACTCTGCGCGCCGCAGAAACGACACTTTGAAGAAGACGAGCTCTCTCTATAAGTTAGATCCCTTTGTTGACAAAAACGGACTGCTTAGGATTGGTGGTCGTATCCGACGAGCAGATGTTCCCCTTGAAGTTAAACACCCGTTGATCTTGCCTAAGAAGAGTCACATCTCAGACTTGATCGTAAGATACTTTCACGAATCGGTTGGCCACCATCAAGGACGTGGAGTCACCCACAACACAATCAGGCAAGCTGGGTACTGGATAGTAGACGGACGCTCAGCTGTGGCCAGAACTATCTCTAAGTGTGTCACTTGCCGTCGATTTCGTGGCCAACTGCAAACACAGAAAATGTCCGATCTACCGGAGGAGCGTGTTACACAGGCTGCTCCTTTCCACTACACAGGCATGGATGTGTTCGGTCCGTTTTACGTTAAAGAAGGACGCAAGACACTAATGCGTTATGGCTTGATCTTCACGTGTCTGGCGTCACGCGCTGTTCATCTTGAGACTCTCAATACAATGGAAACAGATTCTTTCATTAGTGCCTTACACCGTTTTATCAACAGACAAGGAAAGGTACGCGAACTACGTTCGGACCAAGTGACAAATTTCGTTGGAGCTAGGAATGAACTCACCGATGCCTTACAAGAACTCAACCGCGATCGTGTTAAGGGGTTCCTCTTAACAAAAGAATGTGATTGGATCGACTTTAACCTGAACGTACCCGCGGCATCTCATATGGGAGGCTCTTGGGAGAGACTCATCAGAACAGTCAGATCAGTTCTTTCAGTTTTGCTCCAAGAGCATGGAAGTCAGTTAGATGATGAAGCATTACGCACTTTAATGACAGAAGCAGAAAATGTGATTAACAGCCGCCCACTCACTGTTGAAAACCTATCTGACCACGAGTCTCCGGAACCCTTAACTCCTAATCATCTACTAACTTCAAAGACAGAGGTTGTGCTGCCCCCACCTGGTTGTTTTGAACGGTTGGACTTATACTCAAGAAAGAGGTGGCGCCGTGTACAGTTCTTGGCCAATCAGTTTTGGATAAGGTGGCGCTCAGAATATTCCTCACAGTTTCAGCAGAGACGAAGATGGAATACACCCCAACGGGACAGTAGAGTAGGAGATATAGTCCTACTTCAGGACGACGACTTGCCAAGAAACCAGTGGCCGCTTACACGTGTGACCAAGGTCTTCCCTAGCAAAGACGGTCGTATTCGCAAGGTCCAACTCCTATTAACACGAGAAGGAAGACGGAAGTTTTTAGAACGACCAATCCACAAAACGATTTTGTTACTTGCTCAAGAGGCCGCAGACCAGGGTGTCATCCCCGCCCGAGGAGCCAGTATCAAGGACAATTAGATTTCCATCTGAACTGTGTTAAGTAAATGATTTCCATTTAGGGGAGCCATGTAGCGACACCCGTGTTCCGCACCTTTTTGCGTCATGTATGCGTCGCGGATTTCTGCTCATGCGCGCTAGTTTTGTTATGTTATTGACCACGCGGTCCGATGCTAGAGCCCAGAAAGGCGTAAGTTTTTACCTTTCTGCTTGCCGTTTTCCAGTTTTTCTGTATACCAACTGTACATCTGTATATCTAGTTTGACAGATTCACTTCTTTAGCGATTTAGGGATGTATTACGCGTGTGGATTTGTGATTAAAGCTATGATAATCTGTTCAAGTCAAATGGGTGTTTTGGATTTCGGACCCGCGCTGGCATAGAAAGCTTGAGAAAGAGTATTTAATGCAATCTAAATAATAATATTAAATGTTACAATGTAGTAACTTACACCGCAAAATTATATAATCACACAATTCCAAACAAAGGAAGTCAGGTTATTGACTCACCTGCTTCAACTTTGGGGGCTTATAAGGTACAGAGAAATAGATATGGTAAACAATCACCATTACTACAAAGTTGAAAGTTTAAAAGTTAAAAGATGTACATTACAATCATCAGACCCTATGCATCCTAGCAAAGAAAGGGTCAATTACCACCATAACTTCTCCCAAACATTCATGCTTACTGGAAATCATTAACTTTTGTCACCAGGTGGCACTGTACTTACAATACTTCTATCAACACAATTACATTTTTCTAAAGTTATTTCATACCATATGACTGTACAGGTCATGTCGAAAGTTCCTGCATGGGGACTGACATTTCAATTACCTCAGCAAACTGTAATCATCAGAATTGCACGCTAAGGTGTATTTACCAAGTACTAAAGTTTCCAAATTAGTCACCCTATTGTTAGAGTGGAGTTCACTCCTTTTTGAGGCTATCTTCAGCTCGGTCATCCTGTTACATGTGGAAACATCAAATATGACTCACATATTCAAATAATTACCTGAATCACAATTTATAATTTTTTGAGCAACCTGCTTCCTTTAATTGTGCTCCAGAAATAGTAAATAAAAAAAAAAAGAAAAAAGAAAAAACAAGGGTCCTTGAAACGTTCTATGTTAAATGAAACTTTGAATAAATGTTCATTGTGATGGCAACCAAAACATCTGTGAAGCTATTAATAAGAACAATTATCTTTCCATGTAAACAAACCATAATGAAGCATGATACAAATAAATTTAATCTCACCCAGTTTGAATGTAGCATCCAAAATCTAATTAACTAGTGAATAGGAAAAAGTTCAATGTGTTTTTACTGCTTCTGTCATTCTAAATGTTACAAATCAATCATGCCACCACTTAACCCTTTAACTCCTAAGAGTGACTAGCATCTCCCAACAACATCACCCCTGAATCATACATCAAGGTCATGAGAATAAAGGCAATGATCACCAGCTGAAGAAGCTCTTGATTGTTAAGCAAATTCTCCTTGTTAGCACCTTAGGAAATGTATGGAGAACTGTATGAAGAATATGTATACTGATGTTAGGGTGTAAAGGGTTAAGGGTGATTTTTTTGGATGATGTGTCCTTTTTCCTATGGACATCTAATTTTAGTATCTATCTTTTATTAGCTGCATGATTTATAAGAAGAATCAAGTCCACACTGGTAATTTGACACATTGCTGGCA